GGGGGAAAGTTTCAAGCTTTTTCTTTTTTCCCAAAACAGATATTGGAATGTGTGTGAATGTGTCTGGGATTCAGCAACGTATCCTTGGGTCTGCCTGTAGGTACAAATGTAAATTCCCTAGGTCAGTATCACGGCTATTATCAGTCACAGTCACTTCTACAGGATGCTCTCAAATTTAAGAGAAAAAGGGCTGTAATTGTAAGGAAACTGAAAACGCTTGCTTGACAGTCAAGAAGCTTTACACACTGTGAATTCTGGCATTTTAACTTGGTTTTTAGTGCACAGCATACCATCATGCAGAAACCTGTGTCAAACCCTGGAAGCAACTAAATTATTTTATAAGAGGTAATCAGCTAAATAATGAAATCCCTCTATGAAGAACTCCAGAGTGCCCCAGAGATACTTTGGCTCACAGGTACAAATGATAACCATCCAGCAGCAAAACATAATTACATATAAATAGTAGATTAACTCAACCAGTCAAGAAAACAAAGTGCCCTTAGTTCATCACCTGCCCCAGAGTTTTCAGGTCTTTTCTCCATTAGGCCAAAAGATGTGTTCTTAATTCAAGTTCTATACCTCATAACATCTCACAAGAGCTAAGTTCTGACAGGGAGGGCAGTTTAACACGAACAGTGAAAAACCCAGACACCCCCACAACCTTCACTCTAGCTCATATCAAAACTCCAAAGGAAGACCATTTCTTTCCCCTGGTAAGCCTTGCAGAACAGCTACTGAAGCCATCAGATAAATGGCTTTTGCAATATGTCCTGAAGTCCATCAAGCTCACATTGTGCAAAACTTTCCAGACACCTCATTTAATCATTAAAGCTGTTCCAGCTGGAGATTTCCCACCATCTTGAGGCAGGCCAAGCTAGCTGCTGTGCTTGTGCTTTCTGCCACCTACCGTGCTGGGCTTGTTCTAACACTTCTACTCCAGCCTCTACCCTACCTCCCACCGCACAACACATGCTGCTGGTTTTGTGCGCAGAGCAGGAGAGTCTGGCCTTTAGTTAACAGCAAAATTAGTGCTACCGAACAGAAATCTTGTTCAAATGTACACTGCAAAGGCAAAAAAAGAGACAAGTTTGTAGCATATATTCTCCCCTCCAGCCCAAACTACCTGCTATATGTATCAACAAGAGTAAATGAGGACTTGAGTATCTATGAAACACGAATCTGAACAGCAGCAGTCGCAGACTGAACAGATGCCCTGTCTCCCTCCAGTAACACCATTCACCTTGAACATGCAAATGACCCTTTGGCAGAAAAAGACATGTATTTTTCTGTGTGTCAAAAACCCATTATTTCCTTCACAACCCCCATCACCATGAAGTGGTTTTTGCATTATTGTGCATCAATGTCTTCTTACCGCTACAGCAATCACAGATGTTAATTCAAAGTCATTATTTGAGGCCCCAATCAGAAATAAATAGCCATGACCTTCCCTGTAGGATTTTTTCCTACAATTCACTAATTTCTCCCAGTGAATCTCTCTCAATTGACATTGTTTTCTTTGGGGGAAAAGGACTGATCACACAAGCCTTGCTAAGAAAAGATTCCAGTTGAAACATTCAGCTTTCAGAGCTGAGCCCTAAATCATCATGCTGTGTCTCATCAGCTCCTCTTTTTGTTAAGCGAAAGAGATTCCATTCCCTTTTACAGAGAAGTGAAAAGTGAAACTGCCTGATCAGTTAGCTGCCAGCAAGGCTCCCTCCCTAACAGTTTTAGGAATATAGGCTCTAGGAATCAAAGTTTTTGCAGGATAATAAAGTCCTCTGTCCCTGCCAGCAACCTGACAAAACCAGCAATATCTGTCATCTTTAGTTTATGCAGATGCTTTCTGAACCCCATCCTTGCTGTCACATTGGATGGCAAGCTAGAAGCAAACTGCTTTAAAGGCTAGAAGTACTGTAAATTCCAGTCTAAACTGATTTATGAGTAGTCTGGATACATTTTTTTTGTATGAAACAGTACAGTACAGTTTAGCTAGTATGTATGAAACAGTTGAAATCCCAGTTTAGTTAGCTCTTCTCCTTTGCTGCAGTTTGCTCCTGGTGCTATTTTTTTATTGGGCTAATGAGGACAAACCAGCAAAATCCAGAGACACACAAGCCCCTTCTCTACAAGAGGCAGTTCTGCTGCTTTTGCTGGCAGCTTGTCCTACTGCTCAGATGTTACAGGTTTTAGGAAATAGTCAACTTAAATTTCCCATTGTCTCATACACATTACTACCTCTCTGTTCTTGTTGACTGAAAATAATTGGCTCATGTCTTCTGTATAACATCAATTCATGCAGACTCCTCTCTCCTCAGCTATTTTTTTTGACGGAATATGCCCCATTCCTTAGCTCTTGCCAACAGGCATTATGTTCCTAATGTTTTACTATTTTTGTTGGGTTTTTTCCCCTGCCTCTCTACCTTCTTGCAACTCATCCAGTGGCAATGGATGAGTCTGGTTTATTTCATGTCATCGGTACATAAATAGTAGTGCCCAGTCTTCATTCCAA